AAAAAAAAAAAAAAAAGTTAAAACTTGTTTTGAACCATTTATTTGTCATTTGTAGTTTTATTTTGAGTAGGGGAGGGGAAAATCGGATTTATTATGAAAAAAACTGAGATTTTATTTTTAGGCCATATCGCCCAGCTCTACTAGGAGGAGCTTTTGTCTGGCTTGCCTACACTAGCAGGAGCTTTTGTCTGGCTTGCCTAAACTAGGAGGAGCTTTTGTCTGGCTTGCCTACACTAGGAGGAGCTTTTGTCTGGCTTGCCTACACTAGCCGGAGCTTTTGCCTGGCTTGCCTACACTAGCCGGAGCTTTTGTCTGGCTTGCCTACACTAGGAGGAGCTTTTGTCTGGCTTGCCTACACTAGGAGGAGCTTTTGTCTGGCTTGCCTACACTAGCAGGAGCTTTTGTTTGACTTGCCTACACTAGGAGGAGCTTTTGTCTGACTTGCCTACACTAGGAGGAGCTTTTGTCTGGCTTGCCTACACTAGCAGGAGCTTTTGTCTGGCTTGCCTACACTAGGAGGAGCTTTTGCCTGACTTGCCTACACTAGCAGGAGCTTTTGCCTGGCTTGCCTACACTAGGAGGAGCTTTTGTCTGCGGACATTAGCCTTCAAGAGCTAACCGTGGCTGTCATGCAGCTGTCTGCGGGTCGTGACCCTGGGATTGATGAATTACCTGCTGAATTTTGTAAGCAATTTTGGGGCATGCTGGGATGGGACTTATTGGATGTTTTTAAGTTTTCTTTCTGTTCTGGGGTGTTGCCTATGAGCTGCACTACGGCAGTCATATCCGAAGAATGGTGATTTGGGACTTGTGAAGAACTGGAGACTTGTGTCTTTTTTATGCACGGTTTATAAAATATTGCCAAAATGTTTTTCTAATAGGTTGAAAAAGCACATGGATCAATTGGTTCATACGACTCGGTCGTACTGCGTGCCTGGCTGTACCATCATGGATAATTTATTTGAGTTGCGTGATGTGATCGACTTGTCGCGGTTATCTGCATGGGACTTGGGTCTGTTGTCAATAGACTAAGAGAAAGCATTCGATAGGGTTGACCACGGCTACCTCTTCAATGTGTTGAGGGCGTTTGGGCTTGGGAATATGGTGGTCTCCACCGGGTCCGTGGATGAGAAGAGATCACTCGAAGGCATTGATCAGTTGCCAAACAAACTTTATTCCAGCAGATCGATCTGGGAACTCTGCAACACACCGTACCCCCACAGAGTTCGACTTCCTTGTTGTTCACCATTTTTCTTATACCCCATCTACAAGCAGCCCCCGCCCCTGTCAGTACATTTGCCTTCTCTGGAAGTTTCTTCTTATCTGGTTATTGTGGCAACCCTATATTATTTGCCTAGCCACTGTCACCGCAGCCTGCGTCAATAGATTAACTTTGGCACGCACAGAGCCTCCCTATATGTTGCAATCTAACAAAACATTTTGCACGAGCTCGGTTTGCCTGAAGGTCTGACATGAAGTGCCGGGGTGTTTATCTGGGTACTGCAGAATTCCAAGACAGGAATTGGGAGGGCATGGTGGATAAAGTGTGCAATAGGTTGTCTAAATGGACTTGGGTCCTCCCCCAGCTGTCCTATAGGGGGAGGGTCCTGGTTACCAACAACCTGATTGCTTCCATGCTGTGGCATGTCTTTATGGTATTGGAACCCCCAACAACACTGGTGGAAGTATTGCAACAAATATTGGTGGATTTTTTTTTTGGACTAGAGCTTCTATTTTATATTTGCCGATGCAAGAAGGGGGGCAAGGTCTTATAGACTTGCGCAGCGCAGGATTACGGCCTTCCGTTTGCAGGCGGTACAGCATTTTTTGTTCGGAGAGGACTTGATGTGGACAGACACTGCGTGTGCTCTCATGAGGCGAGTGGAGAACATGGGGTACGACAAGCATTTGTTTTTGCTTACCCTGGGAGTGATAGACTTTTCTGCAACGATGCCTTTTTATCGATCAGTTTTAAGGGCGCGGTCTTCCGTTTCTAAGGTAACCAGGGATCTTCGGCAGTATTTAGCTGTTGATGAAGAGCCTCTTTTCTACAGTCCCATGTTTCCGGTTGGAATCCTCAAATCTCTGACTATGCAGGTCTGTTTCACGAGGGCGGGTCTGACGAAGCTGGGGTCCCTCAGGGTCAGTGGGTCCTAGAGAACGTTGGATGACCTGAGGGCTGTGACTGGGTAGGCCTATAGTGATTTCTTCAGAGAGCTCCCCGGTTTCTTTTCCCCCTGATAAGGGTCTCTCCTGCTGTAGAGGGTCATCGGGAGGAGGTGGGTTTGCTGCTCTCTTTCGTGGCTCTTCAGCAGGTGGCTCTTAGGGATCTGTCTAAGAAAGCTCTGTACCAAGCTTGTGTTAAAGTGCTGCATTTTCGGGCACTGAGTGGACTGGCGGTTTCTAGGTGGTCAGATTTGTTGGGGCCTGGATCTTCCCCGTGAGGACGTTGGAGGTCCCTGTACTGTACAAGCCCAACATTGGAAATTTTGATTCTGTGTCCATTTAAGAAGATACTGTAATTGATTTACAAGAAAGTAATAATGGAAATTTGGAGCTTCTAGTCCGCCCTGATGTTTGGAATTCTGTAGAGTGGCAAGTGCGATTCTTGGTGGTTTATTTTTCCAATAAAAGTGAGTTGTAAGTGAATCTAGAGTTTTGAACCAATGGTCTGTGGGGGTGGTCGGGATCATCGAGAAGAGGTAGGTCATTTGTGGAGGGGGTTTCATTTTTACTGCTGCTATTCTGCCTATTAGGGTGAGTGGGAGTTTGTTCCAGCGTTGTTTCTTGTTTTTTTATTGTACTTTTTTTTTTGTTGGTTTCTTGTTTTTGTCTCTTAATTCTTCTTTTTTTCCTTTTTTTGGTTACTTGTTTGTTTCCTTTGTTTGGTTTTGTAGCAACGACCCATCTTACTAATTGCGGTAGGGTTTCTTTCTGTTGTCGACTGGTTTATTACTAGTGTAGCGGAAGCTGAAACCCTGGGTTCCTTTAAATCAGAGCTAGATAAGATTTTAACAACTCTGAGCTATTAGTTAAGTTCTCCCCAAACGAGCTTGATGGGCCGAATGGCCACCTCTCGTTTGTAAATTTCTTATGTTCTTATGTTTAATAAAGGCTGGTGAAAGTCAAGTCTCTCTCTCTCTGTCTCTCTCTCTATCTCTCAGACGTCATTTGTGAGACTCCTAAGGTTCCCAACGGCCACCAGGTTGATGGAGCCCGGCCACCTTATAAATTACACAATTTTGTCACATTTGCGTGCAACAATGGCTATAAAATGGACGGCGGGGCAGAAATGACATGTACAGTAGATGGCTGGTCACACTGGCCAACCTGTAAGCCAGGTAGGTGTTTATTTTCCTCTTTGCCGATGATCTGAGAATCGGAGCACGAATAGAGACGAGGGGGCATGGAGCCTGAGAGCTTTTTGGGTGTGGATGCTCACACATTGGCCGTGAGATACAGGCATTTTGACCAGTTCACACACTCACACACCACACTTTGTGTTTCTCACACTGAGAAGTAAGAAATAACGCCCATCGGGGTGTCCTGTTATGTAGAATTAAAGGACAGTACGCAGATGTACGGAGTTGTTTTCCGCCGAGTTCATAGCTGTCCCAGTTAAATTAGAGTTACCTACCAGCCAATCAAAAAATACTGTAGCATTTGTTGAATGTGATCCCGCTGCAAGCCGGTTATTACATGGATGTGCACACATATGTTATGAAGACTGCCATGAAAGGGATGCATCTTTTACTTAGCTTGCTGTGTGATTTTTGTTTTTGTTAAATCACATAGTGACCAAAGTTCAACTGCTTTCTAACTTGTCATGATTACAGTTTTACATGACTTCCAGTGAAAGCTGGTTTGATACACCAGGTCTAGCTTCAAATAGTCTCACTGACCACTTCATCTGTTCAACTGTTTAAGCACATATCTAATCAGCCTGGCATATGTCAGCAGCAAAATGTTTAAAATCATGGAGATACAGGCCAGCAGCTTCAGTTAACGTTCACATCAAACACCAGAATTGGAAGAAAGGTCATTTAAGTGATTTTGAAAGTGGCATGATTCTTGGTGCCAGATGGGCAGGTGAGTATTTCAGAAACTGCTGATCTACTGTGATTTTTGACACACAATCTTCTCTGGGATTTACAGAGAAAAGAGGGTTACAGAGAAAGAAAAAACATCCGGGCAAAAATGCCTTGTTGATGGTTAAGGTCAGAGATGAATTGCCAGCCTGGTTCAGGCTGATAGAAAGCCAACAGTAACTCAAATAACCGCTCGTTACAACCAAGCTATGCAGAGGAGCATCTTTGAATGTACAACACATGAAACCTTGTAGCAGATGAGCTACAGCAGCATAAGACCACGCTGGGAGCCTGCTGTGACATTGATAGTAGGGTCAGGGTTTGGCGTGAACATCATCCAAGCATGGATCCATCCTGCCTTGCATCAGCAGTTCAGGCTGGTTATGGTGGTTCATAGTGTGGTGGATACTTCTTGCTCACCTTGGATCCCGTAGTACCAGTTGAGCATTGTTTAAATACCACAGCCTGCCTGAGTATTATAGCTGACTATCCATCCCTTTATGACCACAGAATACCTAGCTTCTAATGGCTACTTCTTGCAGGATAACGCACCATGTCACAAAGCTCATATCTCAGACTGGTTTCTTGAACATGACAGTGCGTTCACTGTACTCCGATGGCCTCTGCAGTCACCAGATCTCAATCCAGTAGGCTACCTATGGGATGTGGTGGAACAGGAGATCTACATCATGAAGGGGAAGTGGACAAATCTGCAGGAACTGCGTGATACTATCATATCATACTAGCAAGCTGTATCTAATAAAGTGGCCACTGAGTGTATAATGTACTATGATCAGATGAATGAAAAAAGGATTTACTTTGGTTTTTTTTCTTTATATAAAATATATAATTTGCCAGAGTACTGTAAACTACTACTTTTTTGTACATATACATCAGTGTTTCAATAGTGTTTCAGTCCTAGTGGAAATTGGAGACTGGTAATACTCTCTCTTCTCTTTCAGGCAACAGCAATTCTGCTGTTATCGGTCTCGTTATTGGTGTTGCTGTTCTTGCTGTTCTGACTGCCATAGGAGGTAAGTGAAGCTTAACAATAACTGTTTGTGTGTGTATACATGTACTTATGTATATATTCTGCATTTGGGAACATTTAACAAACTCGTTTAAGTAGGCTGACAACCTCGTTTACTGCACTGCACATTTAGGGAGTTATTTATGACTTTGGGTTGTGTACATGATCCATAACAATGGATGATCTTGGTGCAGTAAGTGACAAACATAGTGAAAGGTTTCACTGGGAAAACCGGTATCAGCGCAACTGGAACCCATCAGTGCTGCCTGACTCAGCCACTGACATGGGAGGCATCAGATGCTGAGTACAAATGGAAATCTGCTGTCAGGATCATTATGCAATTAAACATATTGTAATCAGTAAAGGTTATTTTAATGTTTTTCCAAATTCCTACATGATAAAGCAAATCTGCAATCCCCATGTTTTTTTTTTTTGTTTTTTTTTTTGAAGGAAACATTTTGAGAATTTTTTGTCCAGTGTTGTTCATGGTCTCAACCCAGCTGACTATCGCAGACCTTGCAGTGTGACTGTTGCATTTGCATGACATGAAATATTGATATTAACATTGCTCACTGTGCAGGCTTTATATATATATATATAATGTGTGTGTGTGTGTGTTTGTTTTATATATCTATATCCAACTCTGACAACATAGCCAGAAAAAATAGTGCTTTGATGAAATTAACAGATAATTTACTTGAGCAGTTTTACACATTTCTGTAGCTTCATGTGAATTTTCAAGGAAATCTCATTTGTTTTCTTTCTTCCTATCTTAGGATGTGTGTTATATGGAATACACAAAAAGAAAACTGGGTGAGTGGGCTTATTTTAATGTTTTAATATTTTTCTGCTTCACTGCATTGTCCTTTATTTCTGCTCGGTCTCCCAGCAGAAAACCCTCCATCCATCCATTTTCTACACTCACTTTCTTCCTGTCTTTCTGCTGAAAAGCAACCTCTGTGGTTTTTCCACTGGCATACAGGTACTGAGCCGTACCCCGAGCCGTACCGCAAACAGACATTAGAGTGCGGTTCCAGTTCGCTTCGGTTTTCCACTGCAGAAGGGTCAGTGCCGGGTTTGGAGAGCGACAGTGATGTATAACCGGAGACGCTTATTTACTGTTCACACGGTGAACATTGTGATTTACTAAGATTTACTGTGTGCAATCCGTTCAGTTCAGCTGTTCTATATTGCTTTTTAAAGCAGGTGGTTGGAAATTTTCCAATTCTGTGTTTCCTGAATGCATCACAATGTGCAATACTACTAAAAATGAATAATATATAGAATATACACCTTTTCCTTGCGCAAAACACCGGTATCTCCATGCGACCAAACAGATGGTGGTGGTGATGTAACCAGCTCAGTTTGGTCACGCTCTCGGCCCTGCTAATCAGCCAGGCCCTGTCAGTGCAGTCACGGCTCGGGTACAGCTCACATACTTTGTGGTGGAAAAGCTCCAGTTCGAGTTACGGCCCGGTTCTTGGTGGCAGTGGAAAAGCGCCACTGGACTGCTGACTGGCTAGCTGAGACACGGTTATGAAATAAACTATTGGAGGATTTCCCTTGGTAAAGTTTTGAGGGAGATTAAAGGTCTTGGGTGAACTTTAAGATATGTGCCTTCTTTTCCACTAGTTTTACTTTTAGGATTTGCACAACTAGAAGTTGGACCTTTGGAAATTTTTAAACAAAGGTTTGTGTGTGATTCCAAAATGCGGAGGCTGTAGAGTTTCCAAGGTGCTGTTTTCAGACAAATTGTGCCTGATTTAAGCAGGTGATGGATAGTTAGCTTACAGTAGTGGGTCTTCTTTAGACCAAAGTAAACACTGAGGAAAAGAAACAAATGCATAAATGAGACATGTTGTTTACGGTGAGGTTAATAATAGTGTGACTTCTGTGATCCTTTGGTCCTGCGGCTGTTCCTGTTTTCAAGCTTGCAGCACTTTGCGAAAGGGGGCTTTGTTTACGCATTTTTGCATTTTCTTACATTGGACTGATGGGGGGGGGGGTGAAATCTTTGGCATGTTTACCAGGCCAGACGGCCTGAAGTGTTAGAAAACTGAGAGTATTATATATATGGGCGAAGAACAACAATTTTAGGCATAGTCAGCATCTGGAGGCTGGTCCCCTCAGAGCTGTGGAAATGAAAAGAAACCAGGAAACCTCAAAGTTCAACAAGACGCAGATTGTGCCAATATTTGTGTACAGAGGAAACTGGAGTCTCTGCCAACTGTAAGGACTGTGTAATTTGCTCCTTACTTGCACGGTGACAAAAGTAGTCTTGAGAGTCATGTAAAACCTTACATTTCATAAAAGGTAAATGATGATCACTGGTGTCAGTGTGGAGGAAGGGCAGCTAAGCCAGTGACCGGTCTCCCATGTGCTCCGCCAGACAGTGCAGACTTTGAGGCCTTGATTAATTCCCTACGGCTTCCTTTTCCTTGCAAGCTTTGTCATCTTGCGGCTTTTAACACGGCTGTGTTTCGTTGTAATATAAGTGGGCAGGACAGAGCATTGACAGAACTGACTGTATTTCCCCTATCTGAACATGCTGTGCAGTGATTACCACACCAGAGAGGAAGAGCTGCAGGTTATGGACATATCTTAGGGTTTGTTCTCAGATTCTTGCTCAAGGTATCAGCAGACCTCTGTCATCTCTTTAGTGTCGTGCTCCTCCTGCACACATTCTTATGAAGTCTTACAAAGCCTTGTGATCTCTCTCCTCTTCCAGCACGAGGGATTATCAGTCTGCCGTTCGTTCTTAGCATCGACCCATTTCTCAAGAAAGAATCATCTTTTTCAACCCGCCGTCTTTGGTCAGAAATTAATTTGTGGTTGTTACTTTTTTTTTTTCCTCCATGGCTGTTTATGTCATTAGTTTTGAATGGGAAATATCTTCTGTGCCCTAAAACGGTGATGCAGTGTGTGAGAGAGATGGAGTATTCATTATGTACATAGCTATATGAATATTTGCCTTTCAGTCTTAAATCTTTAGTTTAAATAATGGTATTTATTTTTGCACCTCACTATTCAATCTGGGTAAAGAAGTGAGGTTGTGTAAAAATATATATATATATTTTCTGTCTGATAAAGCGTGACAAGTTTCGTCGGAAGGGCGGTTGTGACATGTTTTTGCATGGAGGAAGCTGTAATGGAAGGACAAATGCAATGTGTGAAACGATACCAAGCTGAAATGCACAGCTGAACTGTGAAAAGGGGTCAGATTCCCTTTGAATTTATATACCAGTGGCAGCCTATTTTGGCTTTAATACTCCTCCTATTTTGTTAGGCTGAGGTGACATTCTCACTGCCTGAGACCAAAGGAACCATCAACGCTAACATTTGTTCACAATGTTTTTATACTTGCACCTTACTGTACATTTAATCAGCACTGTGTTCTGAGTATCTTATGCCATTTCACTGTGTTGCATTTTATGTAAAGCTGAAAGTTTTAATGCACTTGTTACAGATGAAAATGAAAACAACTTGATTTACTAGAATTCAAAATATTCCAAAAATGTATGTGACTCAAAAAGAAATTGAGTTGCTGTTTTATGGTGATGCTGTTTCGCTGAGAGCCTGCCTTGATGGTAAACACAAACATTCCTCTGTGTTTTATTACCTGCTATGTAGATAGCTAAGTAGCTTTATAAGCTTGCAGAAGAACAATTGTTGGCTACTTAAAGAGATTAGCCTTATCTCCTATGTTAATACCTCAGATTGTTTAGGGTCTTGAAATAAAGATCCACTGTCAAGATATGAGTTGATTTATTATTGATTTATCAATACTCTGACAAAAATGGGCAATCACCAAACACAACTCACTCTGCTTGTTCACCTATTTTATCAGCTGTCACATGGAAAAGTGACATTGACCAGCGACACACCTCTCTATAAGAATTCTATCTTGTTAAGGACAGTACTTTGGAGACAAATACAATGACAGAAAAGTATTAAGTGGGTAAAGTTCAATTCAATTTATTTTTATATAGCGCCTTTCACAACAAAGTTTGTTGTTAAAAATAAAGTAATAATATCTGATTTGGAGATGTATTTATTGTAGAAAAAGTGACCTCTTGTCCGTTTGTGGTTTCTGAAGGGACGGCATTTGGGTTTAGTTTTAGTTTAAAACAAAGTTGTGATTCAAATCGCTGGTTCAGAAATTTAAGAAATCACACAACTTGTTTTTAGTTTAAAACCCTAAACTGTAGTTAGGCTAATGACAGCAATTGTACCATGCAGTTCTGCTAATTGGTGTCTCTAAAGTTTTATCTTTAATTGTATTTGAGAACAAACAGAGTGGTGTTTTTCAAAACCCTTTATGTAACTGAAGAACTATCAGCAGAACAGATGCAATTGTCCCGTTACTAGTGTTACTTACGTTTTAGTCACTGACTATCCAGTGCAGTGCAGTGGTGAGGCTGGAGCCAAACCCAGGAAATGATAGACAGCTTATGAAATATCGCAGTCGGTTTAGAATGATTCATAAGGCGTGACGGGGACTGCAGCTTCCTTGCTACCAGCATCACACTCGTTTGGCGACATAGACGTCCTTCAGTCCCCAAGTGCACAACACAGAGTCTGCATTAAAGATGCAGTATTAACTATATGTGTGCAACTGTTACCATGGTAAGTAGATGGGGGATCCCCACCGGTCACTAATGGATTGAATGAAGTCATAGATTCATGTCACAAAGATGAATATGACTGCCTACAGCCTACTTCTAGGGTTTGTCACATCGCCTGTCACCAGCTGCTCAGTCGAACGCTTGCTTTCAGTAGTAAGTAGGATTAAATCGTATAGCAGGACATCATTGCTCACTGCAAGACTGAATAACCTCTGCCTGGTGTCATTTGAACGGAGTTGATTGATAGCCTGGACATTGAGCAAATCATTGATATGTTCAAAACTCAACCATGCCATCTTGCCCTCTCTTGTGATCTCATTCCAGCTCTTAATTAGGCTATGATCTCAGTATTCTGTAATTCTTTAGAGGAAGTGCGTTGTGAGAGTTCACCAATAGCTTGTGGTGAAACATACATGCCGACTAATATAATTGAAGAGAATTCTCTCAGGAGGTATTATGGTCTGCATTTCAAGCCGATGAATTCAAGATCCGGAAAACAAAAACGACGAAGGGTTCTTGGATTGTTACAGCAGTGCTAACAGACCATGAGATAAATACCCCCACCTTTCAATTTGAACAACGGTTTGACTGGCCGGCCGACACTGAAGACAGAAAAGCCAGGGAGAGTTACTGCCTGATCAGGAACCGACTAATCACACCATGTCTCAGTAAAAAAAAATGCTGAGGTTTGTGTTAAAAGCCTAAAGTCATCCATTTATATTTTTGATGGATCGCATGTTGGATAAAATCAATGGCAGTAATAGGGCTCTCTCCTGAATCGGGAGAACACTCTGGCTGCAATTGTGACAGACGGCACTTTCTCATAGGTTCATCTCAAAGGGTCTGATGTGAAATTTGCTGCTTTTGCATAAACTGCTTGATAAGCCTCCTCTGACCTCTTCTCCTTGGCAAAAGCAAGGAGAGACTCAATTCTTTTTTTTGCAGTAAAGAACATCCATAGCCCTTTGTTGGACAATATCAAAGACATCATCTGTCTCAGAGAAGATTTGTTCATATGTTTACAATATGAACACAAACTCAAAATCCTCCAGTTCCATTATGAACCTTTTGGCAGCATCTAATGTGTCATCATCCATGCTCCCATCCTGGTTAAGTCTGCAGGAGGCCATCATACAGTCAGGACCATAAATATTTGGACAGAGACACAGTTTTTCAATTTTTAAGTTCTGTACATTACCACAGTAAATTTTAAAACAAACAAGTCAGATGCAGTTGAAGTGCAGACTTTCAGCTTTAATTCAATGGGTAGAACAAAAACATTGCATAAAAATGTGAGGAACTGAAATAATTTACACAATCCCCTCCTTTCAGGGGCTCATAAGTAATTGGACAAATTAATTTAACTGCAAATAAAATGTTCAATTCTAATTGTAATGACTGCCTGAAGTCTTGAGTTCATGGACATGACCAAACGCTGGGTTTCCTCCTTTTTAATGCTCTGCCAGGCCTTTACTGCAGCAACTTTCAGTTGCTGTTTGTTTGAGGGTCTTTCTATCTGTACTTTAGTCTTTAGCAAGTGAAATGCATGCTCAATGGGGTTGAGATCATGTGACTGACTTGGCCATTCGAGAATATTCCACCTCTTTGCTGTAATAAAGTCCTGGGTTGCTTTGGCTGTGTGTTTTGGGTCATTGTCCATCCGTATTATGAAACACCGCCCAATCAATTTGGCTGGATGTGAGCAGACATGATGTCTCTGAACACCTCAGCATTCATTTGGCTGCTTCCATCCTGTGTCACATCATCAAGAAACACTAAAGACCCAGTGCCACTGGCAGCCACTGGCAGCCATGCACGCCCAAGCCGTCACACTGCTTCCACCATGTTTTACAGATGATGCAGTGTTCTTTGGATCATAAGCTGTTCCAGCCCTTCTCCATACTTTTTCCTTTCCTTCATTCTGATACAGGTTGATCTTGGTTTCATCTGTCCAAAGAATGCTGTTCCAGAACTGTGTTGGCTTTTTTAGATGTTTTCTTTTGCAAAGTCCTATCTAGCCTTTCTATTCCTAAGGCTTATGAGTGACTTGCATCTTGCAGTGAACCCTCTGTATTTGCTTTCATGCAGTCTTCTCTTTATGGTAGACTTGGATATTGATACGCCTACCTCCTGGACAGTGTTGTTCACTTGGTTGGCTGTTACGAAGGGGTTTCTCTTCACCATGGAAATGATTCTGCGATCATCCACCACTGTTGTCGTCCATGGACGTCCAGGCCTTTTTGCGTTGCTGAGTTCACCAATGTTTTCTTTCTTTTTTAGGATGTAGCAAACTGTGGATTTTGCCACTCCTAATGTTGTGGCAATTTCTCGAATTGTTTTTTTCTGTTGTCGCAGCCTCAGGATGGCCTGTTTCACCTACATACTGAGTTTCTTTGACCGCATGTTGTATGTTCATGCCTCAATCTTCCAAATGCAAACAAGATGCCTCAAATCAACTCCAGGCCTTTTATCTGCTTAATTGATAATGAAAGAATGAAGGAATTGCCCACACCTGTCCATGAAATAGCTTTTAAGTTAATTGTCCAATTACTTTTGGCCCCTTTAAAAAGAGGGTGGAACATGTTAACGAGCTGAAACTCCTAAACCCTTTATCCAATTTGAATGTGGACACCCTGAAATGAAATCTGAGAGTCTGCACTTTATGTCCATGCCCATTGTATAACTTCAATTGGAATATATTTCAGTAAACAGGTAAAATAGTGAAACTTGTGTCAGTGTCCAAATATTTATGGTCCTGACTGTAATTGTTTAGTACAGTGCTCACTATCCGTGATGTGAAATTCCATCGAAAAGGATGTTTATATGCAATCTAGAAGACCCCGCAGACTCAAGAAAATACATACTTTTTGTGGTAAACCCAGAGAGAGATGCAAAAAATGTTCTTGATTCAGGAAAGCATTTAGCACCCTGGGACAACACCAGGTTCAGTCTGTGTGTATAGCAATGCACAAACATCACACTGGGGGGGGGGGGCAATTACTCTAACTTTGGCCTGTAGGCCATTGAGAGATGTAGAGAAACACAGCAGCCCCTTCCTTGGTTTGTGCCACAAGTTTTTCTCTAAAACTGTAGCCCTGCATGTTCTCGTTTAAAACTTCAAACACAGACTGAGCATCTTGACCCCCAGACACATCCAAATATCCAGTGAAGCGCTCCTGAGTTTTACCTGCAGTATCCACATATCTAACAATGACAGACAGTTGGGCATGGCAAGATATGTCAGTTGCCTTGCAAAAAAAGGAGCAGTCTGAATTTCACTTTTGAAATTATCAGAAACAGTGGCTGCAAGAGCAGAGATCGTCATTTTGGATTGAGTGAGACATACCAGAAAACACAGCTGATGACTGAAATTGTGTGGCCAAGACAGTCATATTTAGCTACTGTTTCTGTAAATTCCCTGTAATTCCCCTTATTTCCTGATTCATTACTGTCATCGTGCCCCCTGAATGCCAGCTCCTGACAGCCAGGCAGGGACTTCACATCAATCAGGCGGTTTATGAAGACTGTTTTTTTTTTTACTGTTTCTTTATGTTTTGGCACCTGAATGTGAAGACCCTGCCCATACAGCTTAACCGGAAATATGTCCAATCAGGCAAATATCAACTTCTAGAAATAGAACAAGTGACATAATGGGTGTAAATTTCATTTAACAGTAGGGGGGGACAATAAATATAAAATTTCTCATGAGCAAGGGGACACAAATAATACAGTCAAATTGTACTTATACAGTTATGTCCCAAAAATGAAAAACTTTGCTTCTATCATTATTATTGTAGCATGGAGACTGCGTCATTATGGTTATTTTCAAAGTTTTTCTCAGGTTCAATGACAAAGCAGATTTTTCTTCAAAACTATTTATTGCATTGTTTGTTAATGTTGTTTACAGTCAAGCCATCAACATACAATAAAATTTAAACATGACTGTTTAAATGCATAATAGAAATTGATTATACAAAAAAATACAGTGGGGTCAGTTCGGACGTACCAGAGTGCTCATTTAGTAAATGCACAGCTAAACAATATGCTAATTGTGGCCGTTAATGTTAAGTTAACATTATGCCAAGTCGTCACAAATAAAACAATGCATGGGAAACGGCTTTGGCATGTTAG